AAATGTGTGAAAACATTTTAGAGTATGGATGAGTCAAAGGATCAGTGTCTGTGACTCACTGAGCTGTAAAGAATAGAAACGGCATTTTTGATACCAAGTAACTGACAGTTTTAATAAACATTTATAAAACAAGAGTACGTGTACCATAACATGTGGCACGATGAAAAGGCAATGCTGACTTCTTCCTCCGTTAAAAGTTCCCAAACATGAGAACTTAAATTACTAACTGGTAAGGACTGTCCCTAAGGCGTTGTGGGGGGGAAGAAGATGCAGGCCTCTTACTCTTCATCAGTCATGTTTTACAGAGGAAGCATTAGCTTATAAGCAAGATGTTGAGCCAATATGACTGCAGCTTGTTTACATTTCCCAATCATATTCATATCTTAATAATACTAAGGGAAGTGTAAGCAAACATGAGTTGTCCTTTGCCTGCTGTTACTATCAATAGAGGGAAGGAAAGTGTATTAGTGACTTGGGGGACAATAGAAACTTTTACATGCTTTGGTTTCAGGGCATTCAAATTCAACTGCATACAACTGTCATTTTTATTTTCTTGTCCAGTGTTAATTATATCTCCATTAACTGTTTCATTACCAGAACAATTTAGCCAATATGCCCATTAAGAAGTGGGCCAATATTTGTTCTATTACTAAACTGACTTGACTTTAAGAAACCAGAGTAGTTGCATTAAATATCATTAATCAAGTTGCCAACACATTTTATAAACACAGACACCTATTTAGCTCAAGCAGATTGCAGGTATTTTCTACATGAAGATTGTTTCACAGTCTTATCTCAAGTTATAAACCCCTGGCAAAGAAAATAAAATGTCATACATGCACATATGCTCTTCTCTGCTCCACAGTTCCATGTTTACATGATACTCAGGACTAAATCATCACTTAAGGTGAGTTTTTGGTGACATATACATAAAAAGTCTACAATCCCCTTTGTGTGTGCATGTGTGTGTGTGTGTTCATGTGTCTGTGTGTAAGTAATAAATTTTTGAGTTGTTATCCTAATCATTAACTCTTCTGTATGTCAGAAATGTATGTTTTGGGGTATTTACTTTTCCAGATCTGGACATTTTAATTCACTTATAAATATCTTAGTCTGCTCTTGTATTGACCACTAAGCACCCTCATTTCATCTCTGTTTTCTAAAACTCATTTGTTCTGTAGCTAGTTACTAGCAGGAGGCGTGCCAGTTCTGTATTATACTATATAAACTCACATAGAACTTTTAGTCTGGTCTTAAATTTCCTTTAAAAACCTGTAGTAATGGAATTTCTGAGACTCTATCAAAGATGTTCAGATCCCCAAGTGTCCTCTTCTCTTCTCTTCTCTCCTCTCCTCTTCTCTTCTCTTCTCTTCTCTTCTCTTCTCTTCTCTTCTCTTCT